GTCCTAGGTTACCTTACCTGATGGCAGATTACTGCGTGGGCAACCAAGATAAATACAGAACTTTGCTTATTGAACTGAAAAGGCATATGTGTTGCTGCAAAGCAATATGTTGTGTAAAGTCAATGATCGTGTGCCTGTGTGGTGCAACTCTGGTTTGAAACCAACTTCCAAAGCCATGTTTTAGCAGTATCTGTGAGGCTAATGACTTAAAATTGAAAATCAGCACAATCAATAATAAAATGTGATTCTTTCTCAAACTGATTAACACATTTAGATTTACTGACATTGCTTTTCTTTCACAGTTAGTTGCAGTCCAGAGGCCATGAAAAGTTACATTTAATCAATATGTCCACTGTAAGCACATCATTCCAGTTGTGTGGCTTTTCCCTCCCTCACTTTATTTGTAAGATGCAAACATTTTAAGTGTAACAGTGACTTCTTTTTTTCTTAAAAAAAGTATACAATGAAGATTACTTTAGCTTACTAAGGCAGAGGGGGAAATTAAGTGTACTTTAATACAGATGTATACGGTATCATCTTTTGGTTGTTTGATATTGCCTAATGTTATGTGTTCTATATTATTTGCTCATCTGCCTGTTGGAATGCAACATTCTATATATGAGGCTCACTCACTATTGCTGTGGGTTTTTATAACTGCTTTTGCTGTTTCTTGCTAGGAGGAGGTTACCATCGTGTCTTCTTTTTGAATGGATAAAGAACTTTTGTTATAGTAAACACAATAATTGCCAGTTTGCCACACATTCTTATAAGGTTTTTAGTATTATTTAGTGCATACAGAGCGTTTTGTCACATTTTCAATGTGTTAAGAAAACAATGGGGTGTATTTTTTGTATACCATAATTAAAAATATGCCAATGATTTCTTAAACCAAAAGAGTTGCAAGATATGAGAACACTACAGCTGTAGTTACTCACAATTTCTCAATAAAGAAATACCACAAAGCATGCTACCATTTGCTCATTTGTTTAATCTTATACCCAGAACTTTTATTGCAACATGGTTCTCAACCTTCTATGATCGTTGCTCTTGATTACACGTCACCTAATTTTCATAAATCCTACTTACTAATAATATTTCCCATTTGTCAAGCAAGTGTAGTAAGTTATTTTCTGACTCTACCCTTTTCTGTCCAAACACGTCTCCTTCATCAGTTGGTGAGGTAGTTCATATCAAACTCCATAAGGGGCACTAAAAATATCTATTTATGCTAGAAAAAAATTCCCATAGAAGCAACTTTTATAGTCACAATAATTTTAATGAACAGAAGTCCTGGATGCTTTAGTTGACATTCCTAATTGCAGGGGGTTGGACTAGATGACTCTCAGAGTACCTTCTAACTCAACAATTCCATGCTTCTACAGTGGTACCTCAGGTTAAGTACTTAATTCGTTCTGGAAGTCCGTACTTAACCTGAAACTGTTCTTAACCTAAAGCACCACTTTAGCTAATGAGGCCTCCTGCTGCTGCTGCGCCGCTGGAGCACAATTTCTGTTCTCATCCTGAAGCAAAGTTCTTAACCTGAAGCAATATTTCTGGGTTAGCGGAGTCTGTAACCTGAAGCGTATGTAACCTGAAGCGTATGTAACCCGAGGTCCCACTGTATAAGGTTGCACATGATGCTATTTCCCCATGGGATTGCTTCACACATTACAAAATTTATTTTTGTATTGGAAATTGGTGTGGAAATTGTAGGAAGGTTTAGATATTATATTTATGTATCAGTATTATATTTGTATATCAACATTTTTCACTTGCAGTAAATATACTGCAATTAAGGCTGCTAACCAAATAAACAATATTTATGTTTTAGTTAAATAGCAACACACAAAAAATCTGTATATTACTCAAAGGCCAAAACTTTAACACAAAAGGCTGATTGAGATACTAAAACGAATGTGAAACAGCATGCAATTTACCGGTAATTAATGTTAACTATTCTGTCCTGAGATCACTGCAGATGGTGACAGCAGCCACGAAATTAAAAGACGCCTCCTTCTTGGGAGAAGGGCAATGACAGGCCTAGACAGCATCTTGAGAAGTAGAGACGTCACCTTGCCCACAAAGGTCCGTATAGTTAAAGCCATGGTTTTCCCAGTAGTGATGTATGGAAGTGAGAGCTGGACCATAAAGAAGGCTGATCGCCGAAGAATTGATGCTTTTGAATTATGGTGCTGGAGAAGACTCTTGAGAGTCCCATGGACTGCAAGAAGATCAAACGCATCCATTCTGAAGGAAATCAGCCCTGAGTGCTCACTGGAAGGACAGATCGTGAAGTTGAGGCTCCAGTACTTTGGCCACCTCATGAGAAGAGAAGACTCCCTGGAGAAGACACTGATGCTGGGAAAGATGGAGGGCACAAGGAGAAGGGGGCGACAGAGGACGAGATGGTTGGATAGTGTTTTCGAGGTTACCAGCATGAGTCTGACCAAACTGCGGGAAGTAGTGGAGGACAGAGGTGGCTGGCGTGCTCTGGTCCATGGGGTCACGAAGAGTCGGACACGACTAAACGACTAAACAACAACAACAACAACATTCTGTCCTGAGACCTCTCTCAATCTGGATAGTATTCAACAAAACTCCATAAACCTCTCATACATAGATTTATTGAAGAGAATCAAGGCACAAGTAGAAATATTACTCACATTCCAATAGGCTGTTCTTTATTGAGTTCATGGAGTTATAGAAGAAGGAAGGAGTTCTAAGAGGAAGGGAGATTTCTTCCCTCTGGGCAGAGCCAATGGAAGGGAGGTATTTTTCTGCTCTGGGAGGCAGAGACAATAGAAACTAGAGTATTGCTGTGCCTACATTTCCCAAACACTTTTGAGGTCTAAAAAAAGGGGGGAAGGCACTACCTTTTCTTAAAGGGGCAGTGTTGTTATTCTTTCTACCTAATACTAATACAAGATTAATAACTGACCCTTGTGGGGGCGGATCCAGCGGCGGAGGAAGCCGCTTGGGCACCTGGGGCAGCGCACCTGGGGCGGGGTGCACCACGGGGCCTCCGGAGTCTGCCTGCCTCCTTCCACTCAGCCGCCCTACAGCTGAGGGGGAGGCAGCAGGCAGAACGTTTGGGCAGCGCGGAGCCTGCGCACGCACAAGCCAGCGCGTCTCTCCCAGGAGAGATGTGTGGCTCAGGCACGCTGCAGGTGCCGCAGTGAGTGCCGCCCAGCGTTTTGTTACCCCCCTCAGTGGTGACACCTAGGGTGGCCCGCACCTACCACACACCCCTTCCACCGCCCCTGGGCAGAACACTACTACTAATAGTAAGGAAAAGGACATATTTAGTATTTTATTTCCTATTTACTGTAATACCCAGAACTAAACATGGTTTTAAAAAGAAAGCAGAGCTACTCAGAGTAGGCCCATTGAAGTAATTGACATTAACAGCATTAGTTTAGTCTTCTCTGAGTAAAGGTAAAGGTAAATGGACCCCGGACAGTTTAATTGAATACAATCCTGTGCCCTTAATTTGTAACCCATTATAACTAGAGTGAGCAAACAACTAAAGCTTTTAATTAATCGATTTACCAGTTAAAACGTGTAGATTCTAACTATTATTGATTTTATTTTTACAATTTTACAAAAACAAAAAGGCAACATTCAACTAGAGCATAGAGGATTGGGGTGACAATGCTGTTTAATATGCTGTTGTATTTAGAGAGTACACATAGTGAATACTCCATGCAAGTCCATAATTGTAAGAGCCCCTTATGTGTTGTTTGGTAGCTGCACCACTGTTAAGGTAAAGGTACCCCTGCCCGTACAGGCCAGTCGTGTCCGACTCTGGGGTTGCGCACCCATCTCACTTAAGAGGCCGGGGGCCAGCGCTGTCCGAAGACACTTCCGGGTCACGTGGCCAGCGTGACGAAGCTGCTCTGGCGAGCCAGCACCAGCGCAGCACACAGAAACGCCGTTTACCTTCCCGCTATACAGTGGTACCTATTTATCTACTTGCACTTAAGGGTGCTTTCAAACTGCTAGGTGGGCAGGAGCTGGGACCGAACGACGGGAGCTCACCCCGCCGCGGGGATTCGAACCGCTGACCATACGATCAGCAAGTCCTAGGCGCTGAGGTTTTACCCACAGCGCCACCCGCGTCCCACTGTTAGACCCATGTAAATGGATAAAGTATGAAAGGTAAGAAGGTAAAGGACCCCTGAACGGTTATATGTCAAGTCAAATTTGACTATGGGGTGCGTGTGGCGCTCATCTCTGCTTTCAGGCCGAGCATTTGTCCACAGACAGCTTTCCCAGGTCATGTGGCCAGCATGACTAAACCGCTTCTGGTGCAACAGAACACCATTCGGTAAGCCCAAGAGGCTCAGGCCACAGCGCCACCCAAGTCCCCTTATGAAATGTGATGCTGTAGTTCAGAAGGCTTTAACCTCTTCAGACCCAGCACATACATGCAGACTCAATGTTTATTTGATTGGCATCCGTCTGTCTCAGGGAGCCAAGGTTACAGGGCGACTATGCTGCACCTCAGGTTGGGCTGCAATCCAATTGCCTCAAAGCTGGCTGGGTGTCCCTGGTGTGGTGGTAGGCATTATTTCTCAGCTAAGCAACCTTCACAGGGTGGTTGCGAATCTAAAACTGGATGGTCACCATCTAGACCTCTTAAACGTCCTTAGGAGTAGTATGGCACATGAATCCTGATAAATAGGTGCTTCTAGGCTTAACTCTGTGAACAGCGTTGGCGATTTCGACAACTGGCCCAACAGCAAACGCAAGTGGTACGCAAGTGGAATACCAACCTGACCAGGACACGCCTTTGCATTACAATTACCTGGTAGTGGCAGGTATACATTTATGCCACGGTAGGTTTATGCTGCGCTTACTGGTTTCGTAAACGCCCCCAGCCCGGCTCTCTGCCACAGGGACAAAACGAAAACATCCCGTGCCAGGCGCTGGTGGCTCTGGACTCTGACCATGGCGTCGCTTCGCGCTGCCAGGTGGAAGGCGGGGCAGCGGCCCCACACCCGCCCCGGAGTAGGCGGAGCGCGTCAGCCGCAGGGAGAGGCCCGGCAAGCCCCGCTCCTCGCCGCTTCCTTTCGCCGGCGCTTTCTTGTCAGCGCCGCCTCTTTCCCCTGCCAAGTGGAAGTAGACGCGGGGGCGGGGGCAAAGGCAAAGCCGCAGTCGCACCGGGTCGCTGGAGGAGAAGGAAGGGCGAAGAGACAGAAAGTGCAATGGCGGCCTTCGGTGGCGGCGGCGGCGGCGGCAGCCGTCGAGCGGATAATGGCTACGGGGTCAGTGGGCAGCAGCAGCAGGCGGGCTCCCGGCGACGGAAAGGTCCTGGAGCCTTGGCCACGGCCTACCTGGTCATTTACAACGTGGTCATGACAGCCGGGTGAGCGAGCGCCGGTGCTGTGGGGGTGGGTGGGTGTGACAGAGAGGATCTTTCCCCCTCGTCTGTACGGAACCAAGAAGGCCTCCTTGCCTCCCGCTCCCATTATATATATATATGCGCTCTGAGAAGCTAACGGAAGCTTCCCCACCGTCGCCTCAGCCTGCTTGCTCCCTTCTCTCCTAGGGTGACGGGGGAGGGGGCTGGCCTAGTGCTGACCTTGGCCTCTGACAGAGCAAGGCAGGTCTTCTGTCGCGTTCTTGGCTGGTATTGGAATAATAGCAGCTTCTGTCCCTTTTGAGCCCCTCTTTTAATTGAGGAACATTAATGCTACTTTTCACACGCACACACCCCACACTTTCAACAAGAATAGACAATTATCGTAATAATGTGTTGGTGTACTAAATACTGTAATAAAAATGTATACAGTACAGTGATAAAGTGGCTGAGGCAGCCCGGCCAGATAGGCAAGGTAATAATAATACAGTAATACTAATGTGTGCCATACTAAATGACTGGAAATGGTCACTGGAATGCAATGCGTATCCAGATAGTCATAGCGCAACACAAATCTGTATGGTGCCAAAATACTTGCTCTAGGCTAGGGAGTCAAGATTGGCCGCTGTTCTGCTTTGATTGTGACAGTTATGCATTGTACCCATTGAAAAGTGTGAAGCCGGCCTGGGTGTGTCAGTTCCTGATACCTTGTGTACAGCCCATAACTTAGTCTGCAATATGCCTATATGTGATTTTAAATTGGTAGTGATATTTGAGCATTTCAGTAATGCTAGGAGAGTGAAAGTTTTGTTAATTCCTAATAAACTCCCACCAATCATCCTCATAGTAATGTGTATAGTAAAAAAATTGTTAAACTTATATTGCTCATAAATGCATTCATGTTTTTCTGTCTTGGGCATCTTTTCATAATAATTATTTGAGATTGTGTACTTTAGTAACAGAGTACATGTACAAACAAAATGTATTTTTAGTCATCTCCTGAAAAGACAAGGTTATATCTTGCCCTGGTTTAGTGCAAAGGTATATTTAAAAGCTGCAGTGAAAAGCATATCTGCATATTAACTGTGTACATCAAATGAAAAAACTACATACGCAGTTTGGAAAAGAAATGTTTTACAGTTGTTTTACAGTATATAGTAATGCAGAAGATAGCATCCTCTAATATCCATCCATCATAAAAGGTTGCTTAATTTGATTTTGCAACTAACACTATCATTTTTAATCATTACACTTACATCTAATTACACCAGATATAACTGCTTCTTTTTAATCATTGCTTGGTACTGGTAAAGAGGAGAATAAAAACTTAAAAATCATTCCTTTATGAGCCTTTATTTTTCTGATAATGCAATGTTACTACATTGTATGATTTTCATCTCCTGTTCTTAGAATGTAACTAGATGTGAAAAAGCACAGCCAACTCATTAAATGTGGGTCTACCCAACCATACATAAAGTGGGTGCCCACCACTACTTGCAGCTTACAACAGCCCAGCTGAGAGGAAAGTGACAATGAGGGGTAGGTTTCAGGGAGGCTAAGTACAGCCATAGCAAAGGTTTAGGACTAACCTTTCTGAATGCCTTTTTGCTCTTAAAACCAGTCTGTTAACATCTGCTTTATAGGTCACTGGGCATACCATAATTTTTAAAAAAGAGGATGAGTAAACAAACAGCAGAGGTGGAACAGGACTTACTGCCACTGCCTGATTGTTCACTGTCTCTTTGCAAGGTGTAGCAAAGCTAAGGAAAAGGAGCAACCTCAGCAACTGTCAGTAGTGATGGTGAGGGGGTAGACTCCCTGAGGAATTGGCATCCAATGAAGGTGTCTTGCCCAAAGGCCTATTAAAAACCTAGAGCGACACTAGTTCCTGCTTTCAGTCAGAAGATCCTTAGTTGTTTTTCAATAGGCATTAACAAAGCATTTGCAATCTCTCCTTTTTTCTTCTAGGTGGCTTGTTATAGCAGTTGGTTTAGTCAGATCATACCTCACCAAGGGTAGCTACCACAATCTTTATTATTCAATAGAAAAACCTTTGAAGTTCTTCCAAACTGGAGCTTTGGTTGAGGTATGTGTACCAGGGAACATGCCCTTCTAATTGCAGTGAAATAAAGTTTTGTATTTCCTATGCATTTCATTCATTAACTTGCTCCTGCATTGAATTCTATCCCTTTTGATAGATAGACCACTGGTAAGTATTGGTTTCCTTCATTACATCAGAAGTGAAATCTGAAACATGAAAACAATAGCATCAAAGAGAATTTGACATTATGCAGTGAAACTATTATTTTCAAGTTAATTTATTTTCTGAAGTTCTACTCTCTGGTGATTGCCCCTCTGCAACCATTCTTAAATAGCATAATTTTAATTGAAAAATAGGTTTAATTACTTTACATAAATGTTGAAATTTTCAACACTAGAGACCATTGCCTAGTGCCTTTGTTCCCTTTACTATAAAACCAAGAGAGCTTTGTAGTTTTACAGAAAAGAAAGAAAAATAGTGGCTGATGTTTGTGGTTTTAAACATTCCAAGAAAGGCAAACAAATGTCTCCCCATAAGGTTCCATGAGTCGATAGAACCAAAATCAATAAAAGGATGCCATATGCATATGGTATAGAATGTGTGAGTTTCCTCGTCCCAGATCAATATTCCTTTTGTGAAATTGTTAATTTGTCTATAAGCACAATGTCCCATACTTCTGAAATTTTTCTCACTTTTTGCAATCACTAATCAACTCTTCTAGTTGCAGTTAATATATGGGGAATGAAGTATTTATTGGTTGTGTTCTTTTTTCTTTTTTTCTTTTTTAAATTTATTTTTATTAAATATTTTCTTGGTTTTCAAAAGTACATGCCTTGTCTTTTTTCAGCTTGTACAGTATTTCTTACAAATCAGTTACATTTGTTGTGAAACATTAGTGTTGAGTACAGTATAAGGTTGGGGAAGAAGAGGGGGGAGAGGAGGGGTGGTGAGGCTTATATCCTTTTGTATAGTGTACATGTGGGGTTCTGTATCAGCGTCAACTGGGTAGGTTCTCTTTCTATTTGTTTATTACATTTGCTTGGTAGTGAGAGGTATTGTGGGGCAGAGTGTGGTTAGTTATCTGTGGTTGGCTGCAGTGGGATTTGCTTACATTTGTGAGGGGGGGAGGGCTTGTTGGTCAGGTAAGCCAGATTGATTTGTATGCTGCTGTCAGTGGATTCTTGTTGTTGTCTTGTTGGGCTGTGTATGTGATAAAGCCATACCGGGGTGAAGGCATCCTCTTCTATTTGTCCCCATGTCAGTTTCAGTTTATTGGTTAAGGCCATTTCCCATACAATTTGATACCATTGGTCCAGGCTTCCTCAACCTCGGCCCTTCAGATGTTTTGACACTACAGTTCCCATCATCCCTGACCACTGGAGTTGGGCTCATGGGAGTTGTAGGCCAAAAACATCTGGAGGGCCGAGGTTGAGGAAGCCTGCATTGGTCCATGTTTACTCTCTGAGAGTACGTGGGTTATAAGCTCTTTATAATGTGGGTGGTTGTTATGATCTTGGAAGATGTTTAGTAGGGCCAGTTCTGGAGTGAGTTCTAATACCTGTTTAGTTATTTTGCATATCTTTTGTAGGACCACGGCCAGAAGGGTTGGAATTTAGGGCATTCCACATACCACATGTGGAGCTATGTGCCTGTGGAGGTGCAGCCTCTCCAACACCTTGGTGAGGTTCTTAGGTGTATCAATGCCAGTTTCTGTGGTGAGTTTCAGAGTGAGTTCCCTTTTGGCTGATATGGTCTTAAAGGGAGGTTTAGACCACATTCTAGTCCATTGGGTGGGGTTAATTTCATAGCCTGTGTCGTGCTCCCATTGTTCTTTGATTGCATCAAGGGGGTTTGTGGGATTATGGAGCAGTATTTTGTATATTGTGGATACCATCCCTTTGCTGTGTCTCTCTGCTATCAGGAGAAGGTTTTTGAAGGTGGTCAAGGGCCTAGTGGCTGCTGATTTTACTGCTGGATTGTTTAAGAAGACCTGTAGTTGATGGTGTGTTAGTCAAGGTATTTGGGTGTTCCTTAGTTTGTCTTGTATTTCTTGTTTTGGTATGGGTTTGTTGTTTTTGTAGAAGTCTTTTAGACAGTGTAGGTCTTTGGCTTGCCGGGTTTTTATCTGGAGGTTTTGAGCTGCATGTTGGAATAGTAAGTGATAGGCCAGAGGGGTTAGTGGGGATGGGGACTTTCCGTTCTTTGTGAGCCTGTTCAGTGTTGTGGGGATTTTCTTTAGTATGTTTTGAAGAAATGGGTATGCTTCTTTTGGGAATGTTTTCGATGGTGTCTCTCTCCAAGTGGACCCATTGTTTTGTCTTTTCTTCTAGAATATATGGGATTATGTGGCGTACTTGGTTGGCGATGTAATATGATTCTGTGTTGGGGATTCCCCATCCTCCTTCTGAGGAGGGGAAGTGCAGGTATTTGGGGCTTATTCTTGGCTATTTGTGTGAGAAAATAAATGAGTGTAGTTTTTTCTGGGGGAATCCAGATAGGGAGGGTTTGGAATAAATAGGTTAGTTGTGGGAGGGTGATCATTTTGATCATGGCTATTTTGTCTGAGAGTGTGAAGTTGGTGTTGTTCCATTTCCTCAAGTCTCTGTTGATTTGTCGCCACCTGGGCTTGTAATTGTAGAGGCATAGTTTATTGAGGTTTCTGGTTATTTGAACCCCTAGGTACCTGAATTTGGTGCTGCAGAGTTTTATCTTTGTGATGTTGGTGAATTCCTTTTGGGTATGCAGGCAGAGGAGGAGAGTGTTGAAGCACATAGCCTCAGATTTTGCAAAGTTTACTTGTAGGCCCGACCCCATTGCAAATGTGTTGAGTTCTTTAGTTAGGGTGGTTGTTGTGTTTATGGCGTCTGGTGTTGTGAACATCAGGTCATCTGCAAAGAGCCCTAGTTTGTATGTTTTACCTTTTTTTCCACACCCTTGATATCTGGGGCTGCTTGGAGTCAGATTGCTAGGGATTCCAGGGCCAAGATGACTAAGACGGGAGACAGTGGGCATCCTTGTTTTGTGCCTCTTTGTATTGCTTTGGTATTGGAGTCCATATTATTAATTCTGCATTTTGCTAAGGCTTGGGAGTAAATTTGTTTGAGGGTTTGTAGGAAGTTGGGGCCAAATTTCATGTTAGTTAATACTGCAAATAGATAATTCTAAGCAATCAAAGGCTTTAAATATGTCTAGGAACATGATCGTCAGTGGGAGTTTGGTCATTTTGCTGTATTCTATCAGATCCAGCAGTTTCCTAATGGGGGTCTGTTACGTTGCGACCAGGGGTAAAGCCTGCCTGGTCCAGGCCGATTAGTTTGCGTAGGAAGATTTTAAGCGGTTAGCCAGGATTGATGTGAATATCTTGTAACCTTGGTTTGTGTAGTTTCAGGATTTTGAATACTGTCTCTATTTCCTCAGGGGTGATAGGGCTGTCCATGGATTCTTGTTCCTCTGCAGTTAAGGTTGGTTCCCTGTTAGGAATCTTCTGATTTCCTGTTCAGGTGGTGTTGTGGGAGATGTATAGTTTGGCGTAAAAAATCAGCAAATTCTGAAGTTATTTCTTCTTCTTTTTTAGTGACACAGTATATTCTTGTTTTGAGGAATTTTTCCCTGCATCTGTTTGCTCATAGTCTGGAGTTCTTACCTCCATATTCATAAAAGCATTGTTTTTATTATTTTTATTAATAAATGAAAACTAATGGTATTAATGAAAAGGGGGTTGTGTATATAATTAAAAAATGCATTGGTGGTAATTTTGATTCACAGGAAGTTTTAATTTCACTGCAGGGCCCATGAGGCCTGGATATCGGGTTCCTGGGTTAGGGCTAAGGCGGCAGTCCCCAGAAGTGACCTTCAATGGTTCAGGCCTCCTGCATGGACACCATTACAGTTCTTCAAAGAAAATAACAATAAAAAAATAAAAGATATTTTAAAAATCAAATCAAATAAATAAGTTAATTGATTAATTAATTTCCAGTGGGGAGGTCCCATGTTGCGTTTGTTTTTTCCTGGGGTGGTCTCCGGTGCATGGTCCGTCCGTCCGTCCGCCCCCCCCCCCGCCCTCAGCCTGCACTTTTCATGCCATGCACCGGGGAGGTAGGCTCATGGTTGGGCCTGGGCTAGGCTGCGTGATTCCTCACAGCCTCCCTGGCCTTTCCAGTACCCTCCTACCTCTCTCCCTTGGTGGTGGTGGCAGCAGTGGCTACGGCAAGCTGGTGTTCGGCTGGGGGGGTGCTTTTTGCTTATTGTTTTCTGTTCACCTCTGGAGGCCTCCAGGCCTTGGAGCTCTGCTGGGCCGTTGAGGGGGTGTTTTTGGTCCCGGTGGGGCCATGGCTACTGGGGGGGCTGGGGGCTCTGTGCAGCCTTGGTTATGTTCTTAATCTCAGGAGTAAAGTAAGATAGTAGGGCTAATTCTGGTTTGTAGCAATTGTCCCATCATTTGATTAATTTTTGGAAAAACTTCCCAAAAGAAAAGCAGACCACCACATGTGTACTAGAGAACCAGGTAAATTGTATTACCACCAGCAAAGGTTGGATGAGTTATGATTAATTCTATACAATCTGGCTGGGCACATGTACCAGCGATGTGCTATCATTAAAGCATTTTCTTGAGTTCTAACTGAGATGGAGCTAAATGGTAGTTTATTCCAAATTTGTTCCTAGAGTTGTTCCTCTAATTCTTCTCCAAAAATATATATATATCATTTTAGTCTTAATGAAGTGAGAGGAAGGGCAGCCAATTGTTTGAGGATCTAATATAGTTGGGAGATTATTTCCTCTCCCAGTTGGTTGAGTTGAGTAGTTAGTTGCTCAAAACTATTTAAGTTGTGTAATGCTTGAGTCCTTGGCTGATTAAATGCTTGGCTGATTAAAAGTCTTTGTTTTTGTTGACTTTATATGTTCTTTTTGTTCTAGATTCTGCATTGCGCAATAGGTAAGTTACTGGATTCATGTAGCTTATTCACTTTATTCTTTTAAAAAAAAATAGCAGCAAAAATATAAAGCATGATATACATTTCTAATTTCACACTTTTTCTTCTTCCTAATGCCTATTCTAAGGAGGATTCCAAACCCCACTTACACTGTACAGGAGGGAGCGGAGCTGTACCTCTGATTAGCTTTTCTGGCCAAGGTAGCCTCTTGTCATTGCCAGCCTCCCTGTTCTGCCTGTAAAATGTGCTGAAGGTGGGAGAGCAAAAGGCAGGATACCCACTGGCAGTACCCAGAAGAAGCACCCTAAATGGGGTGTTCTGAATATGTGGCAGGGCTGAGCCAGTCCAGGAGCCATTGGAGCCTGAGCTATTTCAGTGCCATCCCATGAAAGCATTGGGCCCAATCACTGTACCAGCTCCATGCTGCCACAACAGTCTATCTCCTGCCTGATGATGTGGCAATGGCCTGACCACTCTGTATAACATCAGGGTAAGGTGGGGGTGGTTTGAATTGCATAATGAGAGTGTCAATATATGACTCCAAAGTAACTTGCAAATTCAGGATGTAATACAGGTTGTTACTACATATCAGAGTGCTCTGTATCACCCATCTATATTTGTCATTGTTCCTGTACTATCTTTGGAAATTTCTGTTTAGTAAAACAAGGCTTGGTTGTTGAGCAAAAAATGATGTGTAACAATGCCATTCTTGTAAGGACACAAGGAATGCCTTGCCGGATCAAGCCATAGGTTATTTTGTTCTGTTCTTGGCACCAACAGTAGGCAGAAAGATACATCTGGGAATCTCACAAATAAGCCATGATGGAGATCACTGATCCCTGTTGTTTGTCCCCAATATCGGGTGTTTAAAAAGAAACAGACTCTGAAGAGGTCTGTTCGCCTTTAGGTTTTCTAACCCTTTTAAAAAAGAAAAAGGGGTGCCCACAAGATGGACATAATGTTTGGGGTCTTTCAGATCCCAGCTTCTTAATTAGGCTTACCACTGACCCCAACAGCACCATGAGGATTTCAAGCTAATTCCCCTGAGAGGGTATGCTGGCATCAGCACAATGAGGTAAGGCAGGAAGCCTTATGAATTATTTCAGACCCAAAGAAAAAGCAACAACTTTCCTCCCCTTACAGCAAATAGGGCCCTCTATAATTGCATTTGAGACTCTAGCCTTTGAGACTCTAGGCACCAACATAGGAGATAAAAAATAAAAACAAAGACCTTGCTACACAGTGAAAAAGGCTGAAATATGAGTTAATGTAATACTGCCAAAACAGAAACTTACTGACTGGAATAAACAACAGCCTCTGAAGCTTTAGACTTGTCTGTCAACAACAAAATGATTAGAAAGCTATTTTTAAAAAGGCAGTGCAGAGTGTAAAGAAACATCTGGAGAAGATGTTTGAATGTACATGGAATTATAGAGGAAATAGGTGGACATTAGACCCTCCATTATTAACTTGTTTAACATATTGTGTCTTGACCTGAAACTGGAAGTTAATAGTCTGGAATGAGCTCACAGAGCTGTCAGACCGAGACCCAAGGACTCTTGATAATAATAGTAGTAACAACAAGTTTCTTGTACCCCACCCATTTGACTATAAGAGCTTCCTGAAACAGGACTGCCTTCAGATGTCTGCAAAAAGTCACATACAATCATACCTTGGTTGATGAACTCCTTGCGACACGAACGTTTTGGCTCACGAACGCCACAAACCTGGAAATGAGTATTCCGGTTTGTGAATGTTTTTTGGAACCTGAACGTCCGAAGCGACTTCCACGGCTTCTGATTGGTTGCAGGAGCTTCCTTGGTTTCCGAACATTTTTTGGAAGTTGAACAGACTTCCAGAACAGATTCTGTTCAACTTCCGAGGTACGACTGTAATTGCTTATCTCTTTGACATCTGACATCTTTCCCAAGAGACATTTGTCAGGTACTCAAAAAAAAAAAAGGAAGAAGAAGAAGAAGATCTAATGCAAAAAGTGAGAACCTTACAAAACCTACAGTATAATAGTTTATTATTGTTTTACAAGATCTGGCACTTGAAACTTCTAAAGAAAATATGTGAACTGTGCCCCTTCACACTAAAGATATGGAATGCATGTTAACAATGTTATATTGTAAAAATCATTTTCAGAACATGTGATTAAAATGAAGGTTTCTAGAGCACTAGGGATCACCTGAACCTTAATATCCCAGCTCAGTCACTGATATCATCAGCAGGAGTGTTGTTGGTTATTCCTTGAGTGGGTACGGCTCATTTTAAAACAACTTGAAATAGAGCCTTTAGCATCATCAGTATGATTTTTTGGATACCAGAGAGAGAGATTCAGCAGGTGCCTTCTGTTGCAACTTTTAAACACCTGTTGAATCTATTATATTCTACCAGGCCTATGTAGGCAGCTGAGAAGACACCTTTCCACAATGGTTCTTTGACGCCTGATTTTAATCTTTTATATCGTTTTTACTGTATGTTTTTATGTCCTTTCATTGTAAACCATTTTGTTATATTTCATGAAATAATGGTATACAAATATTTATGTAAACTGAGGATATAGACCAATATAAACTTTCTTTTCAGGAATTGTTCCCTCTTCTGTTGTGCTAACTACTTTCCAGGTGATGTCAAGAGTTTTTCTGACATGGGCTGTAACACATAGTGTAAAAGAGGTAAGTTAAAAGAGAGCAAGAAAAAGATCCATTTATTCCCTAGAACTAAATACAGTATTTGTACTCTTTTGTATACTTCCTGTTCCTTTTACTGGGTCCACTGTGTGTGTTTTTGGTGGACACCTCAGGATCAGCTGTTTTTGTGCGATGTATTTCCAGAACTCTTAATTGTAACATTTGTGCTGGCTCCTTGCCCACTGATGCAGTTGTATCTTCCCACCTACCGTGCAGATAAGGTAGTGTGGAAAGAAGCATGCAGGTGGGTGGGGAATGAAATGGAAATCATGTAAAACAAATTAACGAGTGAACTTCTTTTCAAAACTTTGGACTTAAAACTTGGTTTAAGTTGCCTGTCTTTGCCATTTTCAGATAGCTATTTAGTATACGTGAAACAAGATTCACAGTTTTCTAAGAGTTGGAAATCATATATGTAGGTCTGGTTTAACTATTCATTGTTTGGAAAGGGACAGTGCATCAAAAGTTCCCACTTTCATGTCAATCTCTACACTTTGGTTAACTGGGCTGTTACTTCCTGTAATTTTATTTACATGGCTAATATAGAAACACTATTAAAAAATAAAAAGTATCCATTTGTGAGAGACACCCTCACTGAATATAGGTGCTGGGTAACATGACCAATATTATGGGTGCATTAACAGATAAAACTCCCCCTGTTTTCACAGTAGAGGTCTATGATTAACTGCTTATGGTAGCTTTCTAAAATTTCACAGCTGCGAGGTGTTTTATTTTTGTGGCAGCTGCCCAGTGTCCACTCTCCCCAACCAAGGATTCAGAGTGAGGCAGCACTTCTGGAACAAAACTGTATGTTTATTTAATTATACTTTAGGGAAGTTTAACACTTGGTGGTTTCATAAGGCACACAGCTTGGTTTAAAATACACACTCCTTTCAGAGAAACTTTTTAAGCAGCAGTCTCCTACAAATCAAGTCTCAGGTAGACTTTTCACCTAAAATGGCTATCAAGTTCCACCCACTCAGCCCCTTCTAGGATTTAACTTCCTGTCAGGAAATAAAAACTGAGTTGCACTGTGTAGCTAACCCCACTCAGTGTGGACAGTTTAGGTTTTGAACCATCTGACAGTCCCTCTCCCACTGAGAGTCAAATCCCTATCTGACTGTTAAACTGGCAGCAGCTCACTTAAAGGCCACGCTTTCCTGATTGGCGTTTGCTTTTTGCTGTTGTACAAGCAGCATGTTGTAGCCCCACTTGACTCAAAGGAAGTGTAACTGTAGGACAGAGGAAGTGAACATACTTTCCAAATATCCAATATGCAGCATTTTATATGTGCAAATAGAATCCAGATTATTTCTAACATGTTAGAAAACAGTTCGAGTAATTTGGCAATAAAAATAGTCAAAACTGTATTGTACTCTATCAGGTTCCCAAGTATCTCAGATGAAAAGTTAGTTGACAGGTTCACATTAGCATTCCTTTCCTTGTGAGATGAGTGTTACCTACATTCTTAATAAACAAAAAACAAAAAAACTTTTGCTTCCCCCCCTCCCCCTGAAGGAATACCTACATACCTGAGCTCCCTGAACAAGTTCAGCTATTACGGATTTTGTAAGATATGTGGATGCATGAATAATGTGTGTTTTTTTGGTTAAATCTGCCATATTCTTCTTAGGTTCTTGAATGAGAAACTCTTAATGTTTTGCTTGCTTTCTCACATATCTAACTCTTCAAGAAGTCTTACATTATTTCTGATCAAGCCTAATCAAATGGTGTTCCGGAATCTGAAACATGCATTTTGTTGTTTACATGTTATTCCTTCTGGATTCTTTGTTCCTAATATTTAATAGTAATTGCATGGGGCAGTTCAGTAATGTTTGAAGAATGTGCTTGCTCTTATTCCTGGAATGGTCAAGTTGTTAGCTATTTCTTTGCATGTTGTAGCCTTTCTGCTACTTGATATCTGAAATCTCAGGCAAGTTCACTAAGCATCAATCTGAATGCTGCTCATGCTTATTAAGAGAAAAGTGGAAAATAATCTAGAGCAGGCATCCCCAAACTTGGCCTGCCAGATGTTTTGGGACTACAATTCCCATCATCCCTGACCACTGGTCCTGTTAGCTAGGGATGATGGCCGAGTTTGGGGATGCCTGATCTAGAGCATAGTTGAGAAATCAAAAACAAGTTAGTGAGGAAAACTGTCAAAATAAAACCATATCCTGTGCACTTTATTTTATTCTTGCCTAAATCTGCATTGGCAAGAAGAATAAACTGTGAAACGTATTCTGTTCATGGAATGCTAATACAGCCAACACAGTCAATTAAGAAATAATAAAGCACACACATTTGCTGGCTGGCAGAGCAGACCAGGCAAGTACCAGGATGGTGCAAAGCCAGCCCCTCCCTGTTTCTCTTGAGTCTTATATAGGAAGCTTGCGAAGCACAGGGTACTGTGTAATTCTGAAGTTGGAAATTGTTGGCTATAGGGTTTTCTAGGAAATGATTTTGTGTGACGAGTATGTAATGTCATGTTTGCATGGGATGATGCATCAAGCTTAGTTACTTTGTATTACCAAATGATGTCATATTTATACCTTCATACAGAAACATTGTATACATCATGAACTCTGGTGAAATTAGACATTATGTCAGCAAAGCAGGCCAATGGTAAATGGTTTTAAAAATATACTCCGTAATCATACTATGAAGCAACTTAAGGTAACTTTCTCAGATTTTTATGTTGTGTCATTTCTGAGCAACACTTAATTTATGTGTATGCACAGGCATTCTAACCTTGAAATTACAAAGGAGAAGGCAAATTACATAGAAGAGTATTATCCCCCCCCCCCGATAAATATTTCTGCTTTCCTGTGGACCTGAATTACAAAGTTTGAAAAGGTAGATTTAAAAGCTTGTCGTTTTAGAAAGTTTATTTTCAACTTACAGCAACTGTATTTTTCTTTAATAGGTACAAAATGAAGACTGCATCCTCCTTTTTGTTGTTGCCTGGACAATCACAGAGATCGTCCGTTATTCCTTTTATACTTTCAACTTATTGAACCACCTTCCTTACTTCATCAAATGGGCCAGGTAAGGGCATTAAGCACTTCATGATTATGAGCCTGAGAAACTATACATCAGTGGGCATATTTCCCTAATAATTGCAAAACAGAAATATCAGTCCTAGAAAATAAAGAGAATGTTGACATATTTATTTTATTCAAAAATTAATAATCTTCATTTTCATAAAATATATCAAGGAGTCTTACAGCATATAAAATACAATAAAACCAATCTATCAATATATATAAAACACAGTGTAAAACATCTGTAAATACTGGTTGAATAAAGCAAAAATGCACATTATGAAGGCCTGTCTAAACAGGACAATTTCAGAAGACATCTGAAAGAAGGTAGGGGTGGCTCCTGCTGAACCTCTAGTTATGGAGTTCTACAGGACAGGACCTGTTGCACTAAAGGTTTGGTCCTTTATGAAGGCCAACTGAACCTCAGGGGTATAGGGAACCATCAGATGTCCATCAGAAGATCCCAGTGATAGAGGTGGAGTATAAATGATTAGATGGTCTTCAAGGTACTTCAGGATCAAGTAATTGAGGGCTTTGTGAATTAACACAAGAACATTGAACCTGACCAACTAGCAAATCAGCAATCAGTGCAGCTGTCTTAACATCAGAGTAACATGTTCCTAGTATTCTCCTTCTGTGAGCAGTCTGGCCACTGTATACTGCACTAGTAGCAGCTTCTGGACCAGAACCAAAGGCTTACAATAATTAAGTCTTGAGGTTACCAGTGCAATACAAGTTCACAAACTTGGTGTCATGAACTGGCTGGATGCAAATAATGGTGGGATGAACCAGCTGGGGAAGTCCCAAGGGAAGAAGGCTCAGAGCCCAGGGATTGGTGGTGGGACAGTGGTGAGTGATCAGAGGGAGAAGACTGGGAGGAAGTGTTGGAAGCTAAGTGGTAGCAGGGCTTAGTGAGCTGGGAGAGTCTAAGTCCAGAATCAGAGGCAGAAGCTGAAGCTGAAGCAGGGGAGGAGGGATGCCAAGAGGCAAAGATGAGTCTGGCTGATGAAGAGGCATAGGTGTCTCCTTCTCCTGCTGCAACAAGTTCCCCTCTACCTTTATCTCCCAGAACCAGAAGAGTAATGAAAAGGGTGGAGGAGAGGTTGGCTGCACGTAGGTGCAGTCTCTTAATTGCTTGGGAAAAGCCATGGAGAAGAGGTAACTTAAGACAACTGTGGGGAGGTGGGGACTTTCAGTCTCAACAACTGATCTATGGGGCAAGACCTTTCGGGGATGAACTGCTGTGCTCATTAGGCTTGACACTCTGCCAAGTCTGTGCAGATGCATTATTGCTAATAAAGAGTTAGCTTCAACTTGAATGGTGTGACTTTGGTTCAGGACCAAAAGTAATTGCATATGTTCTACACATTGTTAACATTTTCTTGTATAAAAGAATATTTTGTATTTTGGAATACACTTGAAATATAGTTGAATTAATGAAAATATATCTTTATTGAATAAAAGTCCTAACTAAGCAAAAGCTAGTGATACTCCAAGTTTTATTAGTTTGGACAATGAGGGCCAACTACAGAACTGGTTTGCATAATGCTCATCTATAGTTTTGAGCTACACCAGGGAAGTCTTACTTACAGAGACCCTCCAGATGTTGTTGGGCTATAGGTCTCATAATCTCTGACCACTGGGTATACTGGTTGGGGCTGATCGGAGTTGGGATATATATACTGAGGAACAGGTGCTGCATCTCTGCTATGTGCAGCAGCTAGAATAAGCTTGAGTGAAGTTAGAGGAGTTTAGTTTAATTTTTAAAGAATCCTGTCTAAACAAACTAACTTCAAACTATGGGATAGAAAGTGGAGTTGTTTTTTTCTAAATCACTCTCTCTGAAGGTACTATTTGGCATGAGAGACAAGCTTCCATGGGCACCAGTGGGATCTTCCTTCAGGTGCAAAATAGCAGGGCTCCAGTGCAGGAGCAAATAGTTAAATTTCCTTCCCTGTTCACAGTGGCCCCATTCTTGATGAATGACCCCCCAGCATCTGTTATTTGCACTAATATATATATAATGTCATATAGAAAATATTACGTTGCATTGTATTAGCAACCTTTTTATACTCCTAGTCTCAGGTACTCTGCAGTTCCATTGAACGTAGTGGAACTTACTTCTGAGTGAACATGTGAAGCATGCACACAAAAGCTCATACCAATAACAAACTTAGTTGGTCTCTAAGGTGCTATAGGGGACGCGGGTGGCGCTGTCGGTAAAACCTCAGCACCTAGGGCTTGCCGATCGCATGGTCGGCGGTTCGAATCCCTGCGGCGGGGTGATCTCCCGTCTTTCGGTCCCAGCTCCTGCCCACCTAGCAGTTCGAAAGCACCCCTAAGTGCAAGTAGATAAATAGGGACCGCTTTATAGCGGGAAGGTAAACGGCGTTTCCGTGTCCTGCGCTGGTGCCGGCTCGCCAGAGCAGCTTCGTCACGCTGGCCACGTGACCTGGAAGTGTCTCCGGACAGCGCTGGTCCCCGGCCTCTTAAGTGAGATGGGTGCACAACCCTAGAGTCGGACACGACTGGCCTGTACGGGCAGGGGTACCTTTACCTTTAAGGTGCTACTGGAAGGAATTTTTAAATTTTGTTTTGACCACGGCAGACCAACACGGCTACCTACTTGTAACTTTGTATATCTGTGTTTTTGTTTGTTTGTTTTAGGTACACGTTGTTCTTCGTACTGTATCCAATGGGAGTTTTAGGAGAATTGCTCACAATATATGCTGCTCTGCCCTATGTCAGACGGTCCGACTTGTTTTCAATTAGTTTACCTAACAAATACAATTTCTCCTTTGACTACTATACATTCCTGATCTTGACTATGCTATCTTATATTCCACGTAAGTATAGCACTAAGTTAAATGCTTCCACCCTTGAGATCTGTAGCTGTTAGACTAAAAGCAGTTTAAAATGCCTGGAAACCCATTTTAGCTGTACATGTTTCAGTGTTCTAGAATGAGCAAGCATTATAAAAGGTGGGTTTTCAACAGTGAAAAATAACAGTAAATTTAAATGCACATATCCTGCATCACTGAGGCATAGAACAAAAGCAAGTTTTTGAGCTATGTTTTAATTCTACAGCTGATTTCCCTCTGGCACTTGTGAAATTCTTGTTTCTCTTTATTTTACCTATAGCCATCTTTTTCTATTTATTCTCTCCCTCTTCTTATAGCCAAATTAGGGGATGAAAGCAAAAGAGAATATATATTTGTTTCAAGAATGCTAGTTGCAACTGATCTTTTTTCCCATGTTTTGAAAGAAGACTTTGGGTTTTAGCTTTGTTTTCTCTTTCATATAATAAGTTTTTGAAGCCTAGCTTTTAAGTTGAACTTTTGTGATAGAAATGAAAAATTCATTTAATCCCATGCTGGCATATTTGCCTGTGCAGATATTTTTATCATAGTTATCACCTATTAAAACTCAAAAACTGTCATGACCACATGACAAATGTACACATTGCAAAACGTACAAAAGCCCTTAGATGAGGCTCTCTTTCGTGCATTTCATTCTAGTGGTTTCCTAAGGTCAGCTTGAGCGCACAAGCTTCACATTGTGAAATAGAACTGCAAAAATAATTGGGTACATAGAGTGACCAGTGAAAGTTGCAAATTTTATTGGGCTTTCAAGGAAAGATGATACATTGCTGTATTTGTGCATGTATCTTACCAAATCAATATTTTCTCACAGCAAGATCCAGTGTCACTTGAGCAGAAAATTAATGCATCTGTTTGTTTCACAGAGCTATCTCAGCTTCTGTGTTTGTGTAAAAAATATTCATTTTTGTTTTAACCAAGTTCTGGTATAGAATAGAGAGGTATACAAATGAATATGATATTATAGAATTGACTAGCTGGCTAAGTGGTGAGCAACAGAGACACTCTGACTGTGTCTAAAGGTAGAGCAATGAGTGTTACTTGAATAACCACTTACATACTTATTAATTATCACTGGTGCACCAATAATTATACTTATCATTTATAGTAAAATAAAATATGTCATAGTTCTATGCTAGGCTTTGGGGGGGGGGAATGTTGTATGCGTTCTCTTTCAAAGCACTTTGTAGAAATCACCTTGCCATTAAGTTGAGCATTGTCATGTACAATGTTTCATACATTATATCTTGCAATTAAAGATGGACAGAAGGGAAATGGCTTCATGGTCCCTTGGTTGACAAGTAAACAATCTTGTATTTTTTTTGGGGGGGGGGTTCCCTCCACTTCATTAAAAGAGAGCAGAAAGTATATGTTTGGCTTTGGGGGCACTGATATACATGTGAAAGCCCTTGAATACATGATATTAAATTGTGTGTAAGTTAAAAAAATACTAACTTTTATTTACATAATTCTTTTCTGTTTTTCAGTCTTCCCTCAGCTGTATTTTCATATGATACATCAGAGAAGAAAAGTACTTTCCCTTCCTGAAGAACACAAGAAATCCGAGTAATCACAGCTTTTGTTCACAGCTGTGCATATAGATACACATGTTTCAAATGTTTATAAATAATACAGAGTATTAAAATGAGTTTTCAAAACAAAAAAGTTTGATAACCTACTAAGGATATTTTTCCACACTGATATTTATTTTAATTTTTAAAACATTGCTCTGTGAAACTGCATTTTTGGCATGTATCTTACCAAATCAGTGAAACACTTATTCTTTTATTTTACCTTTTAATTTATTTATTAAAAACTTGCATTATAATGTCCTTATATTGATGGTATGAGTGATAACAATAATTGTGGTGCCTGAATTAGGATTCCTTTAAAAAAAATTGCATGCTACTTACGTGTATTGTTGTAAATAGAATGCTTTTGACAGTTTTCTAGAACTGCCATGGGCAGACTAATGAAGTCCCACAAAAGACTTTTCTGACTCTAGGTCTGGATGAGGTGATAATCCTAGCAATTCAGGGCACAAACTTAGAGAGAGAGAGCTGCATTACAATGATTGCAGCAGTAACTCATTGTAATTGCACAACTGATGTTTTCCCCTCCAGAGTGGGGCCTTAAAAATAGTGCAGTGTTGCACAAGAGCATGTGTTCTATATGTGCAACTTAATCTTATTACCTCAAGCTGGGATGTTTTCCTGCTGTTCTTGAATGCTCTTTTTACTTGTTTTCTTGAAAATGAAGGCCCAGTTTTATTGAAATACTCAAAATATAACTAATTTGTAATTGACCTGGATGCTACTTGAGAACTGTTTATGGCTTTGAATTAGCTGTCCAAATACATCAAGTAGCATTTGGCAAGCATAAGCAGATATATTTTCAGCATCTTGACAAGTTATCTAAAAAGCCTTTTCTTAAAATGAGCTTGTTTTTAAAGTTTTAAATGTTTTCAAAAGCATCATTAATTTTGTGTCCGAAAAGTGATATTAATGCTAGTAAATTCAGCTTACTTCAAAGCTTATTTAGAGAATGGCTTTTTTATAATGGAACCAGATGAACATTTTTTATTAAATAACTTGGACACTCTGGGACAAAATGCAGCTTGTTCTTTATGCACTTCTTGTTTCCTAGTTATACTGGAAAAACATTAAAAATTTCACCAGTTCTTAAAATTACCTAGGATTCCTTCTCTTTAAAGATAGCTAAACTTTAACCTTTAGCTCAGCTGGTACCAAAAGAAAATAAATGATTCATCATTTTATTGTTGTGTCTTTGGGATCCTATGAAGAATATCAGTGCACCAAAGTTGTTCATGCTTCCTGCAGAGTGAATCATAGAAACTGTTATGGTCTAACTTAGATATTCACTATTTAACTTTATTCCTATCCTATAACTAAGAGTGGTATCCAGGATTTTTCACATTCATTCAATAAGTCCAATTCATTTCACATCACACTATCACATGCTTTTGTTCTGCTGCGTTTAGAAAGACAGAAAAAGAGAATTGACTCATTTCACTACTTTGGCATTCCTATTAATCATCTTGAGTTAAGATGCACTCCTCTTGCAGTCAGCTCTGTTATTTCCTTCCATTCTGATATCCACTGCCATTGTGTTGTTAAAAGAGGTTTCTCATGAGCCAGCTCAGCCCACCGGTTCCATCGACCAACACGTAGCTTGGATCCTGCAATTGCCCATAGCAGTTTGAAACCCGTGGGTGCTGCCTGGCTTTTTTTTTTAAAAAAAAAAGGTTTCTCATTGTAAAATCTATAACAGCTTAGCATTAAGCAGCAGCTTATAGTCAAAGGTTAGAGCTTACATTGTAGAGAAAGTGTGAGGACACCTCCATGATATAGTTTTGAGGGAGAACAAGGGTTTCACATTAACCCGTTTATTGTACATGCCCTTATATGAATTTTCCCACAGAACACTACCATTCTAGGCTATGATGGTTGCAGGTTGAGTATGAGCCTTGCGAGTATAATTGGGCAAAGAATCTTAATGTTCCCCATGTAAGTAACTTTGCATATGGTATCCTAGGAAAAGGTAAAAGCTATGATATATAACTGCATTATAGGAGCCCAGCAGGAAAAAGCAGCAACGTTCCTGTAATTATAAGGGCTTTAGGTACACAGAGAGTGGTTGTCTCTTGCTTGTGCTCAGCATTCATCTTCCTGGCAAGGAGGGAATCGAAACAAACTACAGAGTTCTTTACCACTAGCCAGATGCTGCTTCTGGTCAAGTAATGTCCACCAGTACAACTTAGTTCTGCCAAAATCAGCTTCTAACCTTTGCTGCAGCACTTAAGGGCTGCTTTACATTGTCTGTGGCAACAAATTTGATTTATTTGTGATTCACATCTGAAGTCTGTCCTGCCTCCCAAACACATATACTCACTATCACAGTCATGTGGCTGAATGCACACTGTTATCACATGCACAAATTTAACTGTATCCTAGCTTTCTTCCAAGGACGCGGGTGGCGCTGTGGGTTAAACCACAGAGCCTAGGACTTGCTGATCAGAAGGTCGGTGGTTCGAATCCCCGCGATGGGGTAGAGCTCCCGTTGCTTGATCCCAGCTCCTGCCAACCTAGCCGTTTGAAAGCACGTCAAAGTGCAAGTAGATAAATAGGTACCGCTCCGGTGGGAAGCTAAACGGTGTTTCCGTGCACTGCTCTGGTTCGCCAGGAGTGGCTTAGTCATGCTGGCCACATGACCCAGAAGTTGTATGCCGGCTCCCTCGGCCAGTAAAGCAAGATGAGCACCGCAACCCCAGAGTCGGCCACGACTGGACCTAATGGTCAGGGGTCCCTTTACCTTAACTTTCTTCCAGGTGAAACAGTTTCTCAGGTCACTACAGTAGTCCTTTGTCCAGTTAAATATTTGTGAATTTGTGTAGAATCAGTTGTGAGCATATTTTGTAAGCTGCTTTGAAAGCCTCTCGGGGACCATAACGTAGGTTATAATTTTTAAAATAAATCTGACTATAGCTTGATAAGACATACTTTTTTGGCATTTATGTGAAGTTCTGCCCCAAGTTGCATAGCTCTTTGTTATTAATTTATGCTGGGCCAAATTCTATATTATTGGAGGGTTCTGGGCACGCGTTCCTTTTCAAGCACTCATTTGACCAGAGCCTCTTAAAACTTTTGGCTCTGTAGCCATTACTTTTCCATTCCACTTCATTCTGTCAATAGTCTGCTGTGTCCCAGTTTTTCTGTGCTTTCCCAAGATACAAAGGCCATTTGATCTTCTACTGGTAAAACTCTGCTTTTGAGGCTTATTGTTATTATCACACACAACAACCTATGGCTAGTAAAGCACAAGAATTGCCATCCAGTTCACATGACCAGTCTCAATTTACACATCTTTTTACCCTTAAGACAATTTGACAGTGAAAACTATTTTTGTAATGGGATATAAATCTGATCCTCAGTATATCTTTTTTCATAAAATGTTGGCTGTTATTAAATGTCTGAATGAGACATTTTCTATATTGCCACATCACCACAGCTTCATCCTGCACCTACAGTACTATTGTAGCATTTAAAGGCCTAGTTCCCAATAATACTTTCTGTGCAGTCATTTACTTAGACACAATCATGGCTGAAGATCAGATAGTAAGAAACGGTACATTCAGCCCAATTTATATGATGCCAAGCCTTTAAATATTACAGCAATGCTGTGTAATGAAGCCATGGAAAAAGAACTTTTCTCTGCTGTAACCTTTTGGTCGTCATATTTCTGTAAAACGGGAAGGTGAAACATTGCTCGCTGTTAGGTTTACCTGTTGCTATACCCAAGGCCTTGCTAGTCAGCTTGATGTGTACTTGTAACAGTTTTGTATTTTAATATCTATTACTTCCCCTCCCAAAATGGATTGCTCACTTGGTATTTACTTCACTCAGTCTGTTCAATTTCCTATCCTTAGTGTGGCCTCTCTTCTGTGATACACCTTAATTGTAGAAGAGTTAATCTGATACCTTTTTATGCCACTCATTAGCAACACTGTGAATTGGGAAGAGTTTGAGCACAACCTCCAGACAATTTGTGAAAGCCAGAAAAGTTGATGCGGCTGGATGTAGATTCTGATACGTGGGTGTAGGGAGAGAGAGATGCTTGAGGCAATACAGCTTTTTGATAGCTTGCAGATGTAGTAAAAGCTAGAGAATTCAACAAGCTTTATCCTGAGAATTTGAGATAGAATTGGCCCTTTGAAGTGAAAGTGGCCACAGGGTGAGAAATCTAATAGATAAATAACCTGACATTTAAATAATGTTTAAATTAAATTTAAGGTTTTCTGTAAGCTTTAATAACACAACATACTATGGCCCAAGATTATTTGTAAATTATAGTGGAAAACTAGGCTTCTAGAACAACTAGTTGCTGCTAAAACGATCAGACATGCCCCTTTTGAAACTATGTTGTGGGCGAAGCCCAGTTACTGCTGCCTACTGCTTCACTGACTCAGGATGGGATATTTAAGCCATACTCTTTCCATACTGGTACATTCAGAACTGGCACTGTGGCAGAGAGAGTTCTGAGGTAGAATTGGTCGTGTCAAGCTCACTCTAAAATGGTGGACAATCAATTTCAAATTAGAAGTTTATTTGTGGAGTACATATTATACAGTCCTCCAGTTCTTACCGTTAGCTGTCAAACTCACTTCCTTAAGGTACTGCTGTGGAAAGCTCCTCTGCATAAGGGGAAGGAATTGCAACACTCATTTTCTGACATCTATTGGTTGGGCTTCTCACTGGACTATTCTCACAGACTTTTCAAATTAATCCTGGCACAAATAGATGAATAGGAAAAAGGGGGTATACCCAGCCAGTTAAATGGAAAACAAATGACTAATCAATGGAAAACTTGTACCAGCAGTCAAATATGAAAATTAACCAGAAGCAGTACTAAAAAGGAAGTGGGATCTCTAAGATGAGACCAATAAATTGAAGAGTAGAATTATTAGACCTACTGTTTACGAGCTGGCATTTGCAGTTTCTGTCCACCAGGTCCACCTGCCTGGGTTGTTGCACATGTGTTCCAGTAATTCATGGATTACTGGAACACATGTGCAACAACCCAGCTGATACGGTCTGCCAGCTGATACGGTTTGTAGCTGAGTTTTTACAGAATGTTACTGAAGAATCAGCAAATTACTCCTACTTTATTCTAAAGCTGCCTTCTCAAAATGCATGTAACGTTCTGATGAGTATTTTTAATTAAAAGCATCCTCAGGAGGCAATTGGAACAGGGGAATGGTATGCGGGAAGACAGCATTTAACCTATGCCTTGCAGACTATTTTGCGACTAAGAATTGCTCCCCTCAATTTCCCTTTCCACTTTAGGATGAAAATATGCAGTTACCATTTTTTTCACAGATTGGATGAGGAGGCAGGGGGAAGCAGCAAGGGGAGAAAATTAATGAACTTTTTGTGAAAGGGTTAAGGAGGAAAACATTTGTTAAATGACTACAAGGTGTACTTAGGTTTCCAACTCAGACTTGTTACCAGGACTTGAATTATTTAAGTGCTAAGTCAAAAATAGTTTTCCAGTGCCTTAGACTATCACAGAAGGTAGAGCAGTGTAGTAAACAAAATAGAAGACTGAAATTGCTGCTGTTGCACTACAGCCTCTCAATCAGGCTGAGCAAACAATGATAACTCGTGGGTGCACGTGGATTGTTCCCCAGCTCATTGATTGAAAAGGCAAGCTGGTGGACTTAGGTCTCTATAGGCATGTCAAATCGTTGTAGAGTGCCTAGGGCATGATCAGTGTGATTCTGAGACTACCTTACAAATGGCTTATTTAGGTTATCTGTATTCCATGTACTGTATGTTTCTCTGAAGATAAAAATCCATGGTAATTAATAGATCCACTTCTGTAAATAAGCTCCCTTTAAAAAAAAGGAAACATAACATGAACAGTCCCTAAAGTGAGTTTTGTCTCTAGTTTGAAAGTCTGCATAATGTTTATCTGAGTTGACAATGTAACTATTAAGATTACTTGCCTTATTCTTAATTCCTGTAAAGACAATCTTTAGAATGTGAATTAGGACAGAAGTATTGACATTTTAATACACTTATTACTTCGTTCATAATGCAAGTTCAAGATTCCCTGCCCCCCTTTGATTAGAAATGAACACTTAACTTTGAAGTATATATTTTCAGATGTACTTTACCAAGTTGTTCATGGAGCTGTGTGTGGAGGGGGTGTCAGCCTTTTTTATATAGCACAGAAAATTCCTCACATTGTGGTTATAAATTTCTCTTATGCATGTATGGCAAAATCACAGCATATTTGCTCACACCATGGTGGTCTGTGTGATGTACATAATATCTACTTAAACAAGGTATCTAGTAGCTTATATGTGTTAACTTTTAGTTCCTTCGAAGTCTGGAATTACATTTGAAGAGACTACAGTATTCCTTACCACAAGATAAAAATTTCTTGAGAAATCCTGTTGCAAAATAAATTGCACATATGGCACATACTTCTATTAAATAATTTCATTTCACAAAAGAGGTTGGCATTTGTGTGGGTCAGTTTACAAAGTTATTGTTAAGTTTCAGATAATTCATTGATACATTACTGGGTTTTTATGCATTGTCATCTTATGGAATTTGATAAAACGTAATCTTTTGTACTTTTTCTATGTTGTAAAAAATACTATTGTTATTTTATAAGTAATTTACAATGTACATGTTTTCACGTGTTTTGAAATTTAATATTA